TTCCAAAGAGAATTTCTTGTTTGCTGTGATTTCTTTGCTATCTTTGTACCATTTAACCATCACGTTGTCTTCAGAGGTCTCAGAAACAAATTCAGCCTTTTTTCCAGCGGTGGCTTTGATAGTTCCTCCGGTTTTCTCCTTGTTTATGAACGTTGCAAGCGCTGAAACAAAATATGGACACACAGTGCTTGCAAGAAATGGTGCAGACATTCATATATCTACTTATAACTGCATTATATAGTGATTTATCACATTGCCAAGAACACACATTTGATTATGGATCTAATTACTAAGTTTTAGAGCAGAAGCTTCCAAATTTTCAGGATTTATACACCTTATACCTACAAATCGTATGCTCAAATGCCAAAGGAAATGCAGCATATATTTTGCTGAATCAAGAGGAGAGGGATTGCTTGGCAAGAGAGGTTTAAGAAAAAAAGCTGAAATAGGAGGGTTGAGGAAAGTAAGTTTAACTCCCTCTTAGAATTCTGTCAGACTTAAAAATTTATTTTTCAATAATCATTCTTTTAAGACCACTCCCATTACCCCTGCTTGAGCAGGGGGATTGGACTAGATGATCTCCAGAAGTCCCTTCCAACCTTAACAATTCTGTGATTACCACTCCCGGATATGAGCCCAGTACATCCAAAACCAGTTGTTGTCTTTCACGGATGCTGCCACCAAAAGAAGTTATACTCCATGATCTGGGCGACCTAAGTGTGATATTCTCTATCATGCAAGCTGGAGGCTCAAAAAGTGCTATCATCAATGCTATTTCCTGGTGCAGGCAAGATGAAAGAAAGAAAATCTCAGCCCCATATTTTCCTCAAATGTAGGACTGAGAAATACCCAGCAAGCAAAAGGAAAAGGAATGACTTGATGGTGCCATCAAGGGCCTCTCTAGTGTTGGTCCTCATGACTCCATTCAATCACAGCAAGTAGATTCATTGATTGCTGTGATTTCTTAAAGGAAAGAAAAGAAACCAAAGTCTCAATTTTTATTTATTTATTTATTTATTTATTTATTTATTTATTTAAGGTTGGAAGGGACCTCTACAGATCATCTAGTCCAACCTTCCTGCTCAAGCAGGCACACCTACAGCATGTGGCACAGGGTGGCATCCAGGCGGGTTTTGAAGACCTCCAGAGTAGGAGACTCCACAACCTCCCTG